GCTCATTTTGTTTCAAAAATGTTAAATACCCATAAAATGATACTTATCTCTTGGTATACTAAAGCACCCAACCCACCACTCACCCAGATAACTAATGCATTCCAGCTAACTAAACATACATGTCCTACCAAGAGTTTAACAGCCCCCACATAAAAGCTGTATTAAATGGAACACACCATGAAAATCATAATATTTGCATCTCAACAAATTTGCTGTTATAAGGAGGACTGTATGTGATGTGCTGGAGATGTAGTATAGAGCATTAGTCTTGCACCTGAGTACCTAGATTTCTGGCATGACAAATGGTGCCCTGAGCACTGCCAGGAATTATCTTCAAGCACAGAGAGACATATGGTGCTCTGAGCACTGTTTGGTCAGACCCCCAAAACAGAAAAGCAAACCAAAAGGAGGATCTACAGGACCAGGTATATAATTCAAGGTTTAAGGTGTTTGCTTTGCATGTGGCTAACAGCAGTTTGATCACTAGAACCTTAAATGGTCCCCCAAGCAGTGCCAGAAGTGATTTCTGGAACACAGAAGTAAGACCTGAGTGCTGCAGTGTATGCCCCCATTCCCCACCCCTGGAAAAACACAAGAAAATGTTAATAAAGGACATGAGATGATTCATGGTAAAGGAATCACTGGATCTTTGGGAAATCGAAAAGATCTGATCTTGGACAATGCTGGGACAGTGATAGAATGATGGAGTAATCTTCCAAGCTTCTTTTCCCTAACTACTTGATTTACCACTTGGAGGAATACTCTGTATAGAGATTTCATGTACGTATCAGGGTCCTTAGAATATGTACAAAGAAAATCCAGTCCTCATTCAAACAGAAGAGAAAGCAAAGCTAATGAACACCAAAGGAGCTTTTGATATTTAAATAATCTCTTCTTGCCCTCAATAAAAATTTCCTTTAGGTTATGAAACAACTTTTATTCCTTATATACATGTACTTTCTACAATAATCAATATAAGCTATGATTAAGAAGACAAACTGGGGCAAAAGGATGTGCCTACATATCTTTTTGACCTGCAACTATAGACCATCATTTACTTAGTTTGGGGTCCATATCTGACTGTGCTTGGGAGTTCCTTCTGACTCTGAACTCAGGAATCACTCCTGGCAGGCCTGAGGGTTGCCAGAGATCAAACTGAGATTGACTATGTGCAAGGCAAGGGCCTTACCTATTGGACTATCACTCTGACCCCAATATATTTTTAATATTTTGAATAATTTCTATGTTGGTTATGTTGGCTATGTCCCTAGACCAAATATTACTAATTTTCTCAAGTTTCTCTGAATCTCCTGATGACTCTTTGATTTTGATCATTTTCCCTCTGCTGATCTCTTGAGTCTAGATATAAAATCATTCCACTACTGCAAGTCGCAGTCTGTGTTCTCTGATGAGTTTCCTATACATGACTATGTTGTAATGTATTCTTTTGAGAATATACCTCTGAGTATACAGATCAGAACCCAGAGGAGCATGTAAATATTAAGCTAAAATATTCTGGAAGACACTGGGAAGACATTGACTAGTTACATAAGATTGTAGAGAAGATTATATTTACATAGATTATTACTCTGTCTACAATGTGGAAGTTACATTATAAAACAGAGGACCCTTAGGTAGAACTATAGAGAGACTGTTGTAGACATCTTTGGTTAAAAAAGAGTCTTTCCGTATAGTAAAGTTGCAGGTTATAAAATCAATACCCAAAAGTCCATGGCTTTCCTATACGCAAACAGTGAGAGAGAAGAAAGCAACATGAAAAAAACAATCCCATTCACAATTGTGCCCCAGAAAATCAAGTACCTAGGAATCAGCTTAACTAAGGAAGTAAAGGACCTGTACAAAGAAAACTACAAAACGCTACTTCAGGAAATAAAAGAGGACATGAGGAAATGGAAAGATATCCCCTGCTCATGGGTCGGGAGACTTAACATTGTCAAAATGGCAATACTACCAAAAGCATTGTATAAATTCAATGCAATCCCTATAAGGATACCCATGACATTCTTCAAAGAAATGGAGCAAACACTCTTGAAATTTATATGGAACAATAAGCCCCCACGAATAGCTAAAGCAATTCTTGGGAAAAAGAAAATGGGAGGAATCAACCTCCCGAACTTCAAACTGTACTACAAAGCAGTAATAATTAAAACAGCATGGTACTGGAACAAAGGCAGAACTGCAGACCAATGGAACAGGGTTGAATACACTGACATCTCTCCTCAATCATATGCTCATCTAATCTTTGATAAAGGTGCAAGTAATGTGAAGTGGAGTAAGGAAAGCCTCTTTAATAAATTGTGTTGGCATCACTGGATGGCTACATGCAAAAAAATAGGCTCAGAACTCTGCCTAACACCATGTACAAAAGTAAGATCAAAATGGATTAAAGACCTCAACATCAGACCAGAAACCATAAGGTACATTGAAGATAAAGTTGGCAAAACCCTCCATGACATTGAAGCTAATGGTATCTTCAAAGATGCCACGCCACTGGCCGAGCAAGTGAAAACAGAGATAGATAAATGGGACTATCTTAAACTAAGAAGCTTCTGCACCTCCAAAGAAACAGTGACCAAAATACAAAGACAGTCTACAGAATGGGAAAGGATATTCACCGAATACACATCTGACAAGGGGTTGATATCCAGGATATACAAAATACTGGTTAAACTCCACAAGAAGAAAACATCCAACCCCATCCAAAAATGGGGCAATGAAATGAACAGAAACTTTCTCAAAGAAGAAATCCGAATGGCAAAAAAGCACATGAGAAAATGCTCTACATCATTAATCATCAGGGAGATGCAGATCAAAACCACAATGAGATACCATCTCACACCTCAGAGACTGGCCCAAATTCAAAAGAACAAAAGCAACCGATGCTGGCGTGGATGTGGCGAGAAAGGGACACTCCTTCACTGTTGGTGGGAATGTCCACTGGTTCAGCCCTTCTGGAAAACAGTATGGACGATTCTCAAAAAATTAGAAATTGAGCTCCCATTTGACCCAGCAATACCACTCCTGGGAATATATCCCAGAGAGGCAAAAATGTATAGTCGAAGTGACATCTGCACTTGTTTGTTCATTGCAGCCCTCTTTACAATAGCCAGAAACTGGAAGAAACCTGAATGCCCAAGAACAGATGACTGGTTAAAGAAACTTTGGTACATCTACACAATGGAGTACTATGTAGCTCTTAGAAAAGATGAAGTCATGAAATTTACATACAAGTGGTACAATATGGAAAGTATCATGCTAAGCGAAATGAGTCAGAAAGAGAGGGATAGACATAGAAAGATTGCATTCATCTGGGGGATATAAAGTAACAAAGTATGAGATTAATACCCAAGAATAGCTGAGATCAGCACCAGGAGGATTACTCCATAACTTAGAGGCCAGCCGGGTATCCTAGAGGAAAGGGCTATTCAGATAGAGAAGGGAGCACCAAATAAAGGATGTTTGGAGGATCCTCCCAGGAGGGGAGATGCATGTCGAAAGTAGACTATGGACTGAACATGTTTGCCACTCAATGCCTCTTTTGCAGACCACAACACCCAAAAGGAGAGAGAGAACACAGGGGATTGCCCTGCCACAGAGACAGGGGGGATGGGGGGATGGGGGTGGGAGGGATATTATCCATGGTGGTGGAAAATGGGCACTGGTGGAGGGATGGGTATCTGATCATTGTATAATTGAAACCAAAGCACAAAAAATTGTAAATCTACAACTTTAAAAAAAATAAAATAAAATAAAGGGGGAAAAAAAAGAAAAAAAAAAGAACACCCATTCATAATAAACTAGAAATAGAAGAAAAAAAAAGAGTCTTTCATTGGTAAATTGTGTTAAAAGGGAAGTTGTCTTATGTGAGATAAATTAGTAAAGAAAAGTATGACATTTATAGAAGCTTTAGGGAAAATCTAGAATATCTGTCATGTTTCTTCTTTAAGAGATAAAGTAGATAGTACTTTTATTACTTGTTTGGGATGACATTATTTCCATCTTATAAAACCAGCTTAAAAGATTATGTGGTGCTTAAAGGAAAGAAAACATAATGTGGCCATGTTTGCTTTTAATATTCAAGGTATTTCAGAACATAATCTTCAGGCATCTGCATCTGAGGATCACAAAAGATAGCCCTCATATAAGCCTGTCACATAGAATGTAACTGGAAAGAATTATCTGCCATTATTTCAAGAGTTTTCTGAGATATCTATCACCTTTCCATTAAACCCAGAAGAAGGCAATAGAAAAAGTTTTTAAGAGCAAGTAAGAATAGGTGACTTACTTGGGAGTTGAGGGAAAATATTGGTAGAAGGAGGAAGTGAAGCAATTACAACAAGGTAGCTGTTAAAGGGTGGCATATTATTAAGCAAGTTACATTCAGTGGATACTAGAATCCTTATAAGACATAGTCTTCATGCCTACCTCCCCAAATATCAAAATAGTTAAAATATTGATACCCCAGTGTTTAACATCAATCAAAGGATACCAGCTGCTCCTTAGAGGTGCAGTAGAGGGTAATCATGCCAGCACAAAGATTTCAAGAATTAAATATCAAGGATAGTATTGACAACAAGATTGTTGGGCATTGTAAAGGTTAAAGGCAAATTATTTGGGTAATATATTTTAATTTTTCTAAAGGATTCTTCACATACGGTTCTAGGAATTGGGGATATTCTTATATATACATATATAGATTTATATACTTACATACTCATATATATATATATACTCAATAGATTATGAAATACAATTTAAGTGTTTATTTACACTACTGATGTTCTTGCTTTTCTAGAAGAGAGATAATGATCTTTGCCACTGAGATAATTAAGGAACTGCATTGTCCATCATCCAAATTGTAGCACAATGAATACATTTTTGAGTCAGTAATTTAAAATGTGAGACAATGCTTGAATGTAAAGTTTCAGATATCTTTTCCAAATTGGTATTTAATCCTGTGTTCATTTTTCCCATTCCAGTTGAAAAAATTCAGAATCAGTGGGATGAAGTACAGGACCACCTTCACAACCGGAGACAACAATTGAATGAAATGTTAAAGGATTCAACACAATGGCTAGAAGCCAAGGAAGAAGCTGAACAGGTCCTGGGGAAGGCCAGAGCCAAGCTTGAATCATGGAAAGAAGGCCCATACACAACAGAGGCTATTCAAAAGAAAACCATCGAAACCAAGGTTAGTTTTAAAGATGTGTTAAAAATTAAACAGTGGTTACACTAGACACTAGCTAAAATCCAATATGGATTAAAATGTAACACATTGATGCTGGTGCTGCAGTTTGTGTTAATTAAATCACATTCACGTGTGAGCCAATGATAGTTGGGTCATGCTGATGTCACTGTGTTATCTGATGTGAGTTTATTAAATTAATATTATATTTTACTCGAAATAAATAGTAAACTCTTCGAAGTAGATATTGGGAAGAAATGATAGCTAAGAGGAATCTAAAATGAATTTCATTTAACAATTTGAGCATCTGTAAATATCGCCTCGGAATTGAGGAGCCTGCTTATATGATATGGAATCAATCTGTTTTGCTTAATTCCTTCCTTTAAAAGTTCATAAATCTGAAGCCAGAAAGACAGTAGACTGAGTATGGCACTTGCCTTTAATGATGCAGACCTGGGTTCAATTTCCAGCACCAGCACCAAATATGATCCCTCAGACATTACCAGGAGTCATAACAAAAAATGAAAAAAAGCAAAGAGTCAGAGATAATCACTGAGTACCATCAATGTGGCACAAAATATAAAACAAAGAGCTTACAAATATATTCCCATCCTGCTTCTCATCCTTATCTGGGATCTGGCTGAGTGTAAGGGGGATTAAAACAGAGATAATTAGAGTCTCACTTTATCTTCTTGATCTCTGATTTCTGACTCAAATTCTTTCCTTCTTTCTCTTCCTTCTTCTCATCTTCCTCCTCTTTCTCCCCAAAGCATGATCATATGCCTGTCCACGTAGTCATCTAGAACCTTTCTAGATGAGTGACAAAGAGAAAGAAAATGAATTTTTGTTTGTTCATGGGAACACCCAATAGTGCTCGGGGATTACTCCTGGCTCTCTGCTCAGGAATCACTCCTGGCAGCATTTTGGGGGGGGCATATGATGTGCTGGGGATTGAACACAGGTCAGCTGTGTGCAAGGCAAATGCTTTAACCACTCTACTATAGCCCCAGCCAAAAAAATGAATTTTATTTACTAACTTTTAGTAAACAGCATATTGTGTGCATTTAATCCTTTCAAATGTCTTGTTTATATGCCAATTTAAAGAGAGCTGAAATGCTAAACAGTAGGTAGCTGTTAGGGGTTTTTAAGCAGAGAAGTAAAATGGTGAGAATTGATACTGAGTATAAGTACTGAGTATAGGTAAGACTATAGTTTTTTTTTTTTTTTGGTTTGAAAGATTTTCTGCTGAATCTCAAATTAGCTGTGTCATCTGAGAAGAAAGACAGAATGATGTTCTCTTATAGAAGTAACATTTTTCTCGGGACTTTATCAGTGATTTTCAACTGCAGGATCAAGGACCAGTGCTAGTCTTTGGGCATTAAAAAAACTTGAAAACCATAATCTGCCATAGTGCTTATCAACTCCCAGATAGAAATGTCAATCAATGCTGTTGTACAGGTGGCATACAGGTTAAAACCCACTAGTTTGGCTAGCTACATACCATGTCTTTATGCCAGTTTTATTTTGAAAGTAGAATTGAATTTCAATAATTTAATGAGAATTAACTTATTGATTATAATAAGCCAGTAGAGGTCAAAGAACAATTTTCTCAAATGCTCACCAGGTGATTTGTGATCCAACTTTTATACTGTAGCACTGTCCTTCCATTGTTCATCGATTTGCTCAAGCAGGCCCAGTAACATCTCCATTGTGAGACTTGTTGCTACTGTGTTTGGCATATCGAATACGTCACGGGTAGCTTGCCCCATTTTTCCATGCGGGTGAGATACTCTTGGTAGCTTGCCAAGCTCTCCAAAAGGGGTGGAGTCTAAGATTATATCCTAAAATGTCCTCGGTCATTATCTAAGGAAATTTCTATTTTTGTTAATGTTATGTGTTTAGGAATTTATTTAGCTCTATAGTTCTCACTTCAATATAAGTTCATAATATGGGCAAAGTTGAATATAGTTGTAATTTTCCGTGTCCTGAATGATATATGCCAAAACTTAAAATAATTCTACTAATAATTTAGCAAGGGTTTCCTTTGCTAATAACTGTGCTAGTGATTATATTTCTGTGTATATATGCTGATTTTATCTTCTCATAAAACTTCTGTAGAAAGTGTATATAGTTTTCAGTTCACAATTTTAAAAAATGAAGGATGGAGAAGTTGTTGCTACTCTTAGAAGTCAGATTTTATCTTCTGTTCATGGGCTATGTGGAGACTAAAATGACAAGTCAAGAATATACCATTAGAGGGCTGGAGGGATAGCACAGCGGGTAGGGCGTTCACCTTGCACGCAGCCAACGCCATTCGATTCGCAGCATCCCATATGGTCCCCTGAGCAACTCCAGGAGTAACTCCTGAGTGCAGAGCCAAGAGTAACCCCCGTGCATCACCGGGTGTGACCCAAAAAAGCAAATATATATATATAACAAATTATATATATAAATATATATACCATTAGAGTATACTGGAAAACAATTATAATTTAGGATTTGGAGGGGGGGGTGAAGCAACTCCCAGCAGTTTTCAAGGCTTACTCCTGCTTCTTTCCTTAGTAATAACTCCAGTGAGGCTTGGGGAATAACTTGGGGCTCAGGGGGACAAACACAGGTCAGAAGCATGCAAAGAAAGTACCCTAAACATTACACTATATCTCCAGTTACACAATCATATATTTTTTTAAAAAATTTATTAGTGAAACACCATGAAGTACAGTTGTAGATGTACAAATCTTTGTGCTTGGGTTTCAGTTATACAATGATTGAGTACCCATCCCTCCACCAGTGCCTATTCTCCACCTCCAATGCTCCCAGTGTCCTTCCCACCCTCCATCCCTCCTCTGTGGCAGGGCATTCTCTTTTGTTTTCTCTCTCCTTTTGGGTGCTGTGGTTTGCAAAAGAATCATTGAGTGGCAATCATGTTTGGTCTATAGTCTACGTTCAGCTTGCATCTCTCATCCTGGGAGGATCCTCCGAACACCCTTTATTTGGAGCTCCCTTCTCTCTCTCAGCTGCCTTTCCCGCTAGCATGTGTGGCTGGCCTTCAAGCCATGGAGTGAACCTCCTGGTCCTTATCTCGGCTATTTTTGGGAGTTAGTCTTCTATTTTGTTACTTTATATTCCCCAGATGAATGCAATCTTTCTATGTCTGACACAGTGATAATTTTTAATTGAGAAGATTTTATTGCTGACAAAACTTCAGGTAGAAAACTAATGGTATTTAATCTTATACTGCCACAGAGCTTTCATATTGCTTTACCATTAAAAACTTAAAACTATACTTGAAAATCATTTGTTTTTGACAATAGAGACACAATGTCATTTTTTATTTCTTCTACAACTCAGGGAGAACTTAAAAAGGAGGAATTGGCCCTTATTTCTAATGTCTTCACATAAGGGGTGAGATTGCCTGGCTTATCTCTTAGACTTTATTTTAAGAAGTGTGGAAATAGACATAAGAAAATGCTGGCTAAGATGACTGGGTCTCTTTGTTCCATAAAGATTTTCTGATTCCTGTCCCTGAGATTGCCAGGAGAGTCTGTCAGCCACATAAGGCAATCATCAAGCTGTGTCTCCAGAGCTGAGGGCTACGATTGTATCATCCAGCCTTCCTTATAGTAACATTGCTGGTAACTGCCCTTGCTGTCCCAATGAAATGATTTGCAAGGTTCGCCTCTGAGTCTTTAAAGTATTCACCATACTTTGTCGTTCATGAAAAAATGCCCATGCTTTTAATATTTTAATGGTCTAGAATTGCCTATATTTTCCTTTAACCCTTCATTTCTTACCTACATATTTTAATCTTTCCTATAATGGAAGAGTAAATTATTATTTTAACCTAGTATTTTCTAGAAATATTTACATATATTGCTAGATAACTTTCAGTATTTATTATTGAATTTTCATCATATTTGTATAGGGTGCATCTTTATTCATATCCATTTGCTTTGGACATTCAGAAAACCTTTCTTTCCAAAGAACAAGAGAGTAGTGATAAAATAGAGATAATAGCAGTCTCTTCACAAAATAGATGTCCAGTATGAAATGGCATCTAGGATAAGTCCATCTTAAGAGCTAAGTTAGGGTGGAAGAAGACAAGAATAGGAAAGTCTTAATTTGGTAAAAGAATGTATGCTTAGGCTGTAAGTGACCTAGTGTTTCCATTTATAAGTTGGTAATTAAGAGAAAATCGTTAGATATATAGGCATATATGCATAGTTTATTTCTTATGTAACCCTTAATTTTTAATCAAACAAGTAATTGATTTTGCCAACCACATGGCATGATTTAGTCTCCATAGCCCTGAGAAAATAATGATGTTCTTTTGAGTTGGAAAGACAGATGTTAGGGAAAATCGTACTGATCAAAATCTTTGCAATAGGCTATGACAAATCCCATGAGAGAGGAAGTCATTTAACTTTCATAAGAGATAAGATGGTATCCCTTTGGCAACAAAAACTGCCAAAAATGATCATCATGGTATTCAGTTCATTTGGCAGAACTTAGGTTCACTTCACAACTTTTCCCTGGGCTATTAAGATTGGTCTAAACTTGGCCATGGCATCTTTGAAAAATTATTTCTTGATCATTTTAAACTTTCTTTTCCAGTGTCAAGAGAGATTTACCCAGGCTTAGAGTTTTCATTTATTTTTTCCCTTTCAGCGTTTGAAAAAGAAATTCCTTTTTTGTCTGCTCTGTGATTGCTTTTGTGTCAAATTCAGCATAAAAGCTCTTCAAACGAGATGGCATTAGCTGTTTTTTGCTTGGCTGAACTAAGAGTACATGAATTCAATAGAGAAGTGAAATCTTGTTTGAGCCTAACTGATTTGGCTATATAATACTTAAAACTATCTGAGGCAGGAAATCCAATCATTTATTAAATTATTAAGTAAACATTTTGAAGCTGAAAATGGTTTGAAGATGTTCTTGAGGGCATCTGAAACATACACTTTAATCATATAATTAATATTAAATTTTGAACTTGCTGCATTTGGTAAATACAGTGGTTCTTTGAGGATCTAAAATTATTTTGCTAGGAAAGAAGCTTATCAGGGAGTCCTGTTTCAAATAGGGAAGGGTCTTAAAATATTAATAATTTGAAGATATAGGTGTTATCAGATAATTTACATAGCTCTTAGGGAATACTGTTGTGGGTGCTAGATTATTTCATTTATGTTTTTTAACTTTTACTTTTTATAGTTGCACAAAATTAAATAGAAAATTGCCTTGAAATGGTTCTTTGAGCCCTTGAAGTAATCATTATTGCAGTAAGCTGCAATAATGAAAAAGTATAAGAAATCTTGTCAGGACCTGCTATTTTTCAAGTGTTTCCTATGTTCTTTTAGTCTCTCCTAAAGTTTACTCATGATTAGGGAGAAAAATGAATAACTTAATAATATATTTCCTCCCAAAGTATGCATTCAGTTATTAAATTTCTTTAAGTCTAAAACATAGGGCTTCCCGCATCACTGATAGAGCACAGGAAATAGGCTGGTTTCCCTAGGAAATTCTATACTGCATAAATGCTAAATGCAAAGTCACCAGACTTGACTAAATGTACGCTTTTGATCACACCACACTTTGCTGTGTTTTCACAGTTTAACTTATTCTGTGCCTGAAAATATAACGTTGCCACTCTGCAAATTCACTCATCCATAAAAGTAACAAATAGCAAAAATGGCCTCGATTGCCTTTTGTGAACTCTGGAAATTAACCAAAGGTTGACTACAATCACATAAATTGCTGAACCTTGGTAAGAACAGTAGCGTTCAAGGCTTTTTAACCTGGCCTCTGCCCGTTAGTTCCTCGGAAGTAGCCCTGAAAATCAGTCTTACAGTCACCGGAGAATCTGGACCAAAATTGGAGCTCTCAAAGAAAAAAATCCATTCCATTTTCTGAACATTAGCACTATCTGACCTGCCTTCCCCTGAGGCGGTAGTTCCCTGGAACAAACTTTGGAAGTAAGACGCTTTCTTTATGTGATCTGGCTTCAAACTACCTCTCCAGGGAAAGTTCTAACCCCCGCCCCCCAGTGATGTAGCTAAAACAGTCAGCATCAATGGTTTTGAAGAGCAGCTACTACGTGGCAGCTGGGTGGGGCTCAGCGCGTGTGGATGACGCAAGGTGGGCGGGCCCCAGCGCTTTGTGACAACAATACAGACTTGTTTCCATGGCTACTGCAAACCAGGGCTCAGTCTTGGCAGGTCCATCAGTGTGGCAGGACACCCAGGCCATCACGGGAGTCTAGGATCATTTCACCAACCCTCCCTACCTCACTGTCCAGCCTAGTAGGGATGTCCAACTCCCCCAAGACTCGCAGCCGGGCCGGTGCTGCGTCGCACACTCTCAGAATCACCGTGCACACCAACACCCAGAGTACGCAGCCCGATCCTATTGGACAACGAGAAAAAAGACTTCAGAAGGCATCACGGAAAGGAGTCTCCAGCTCATCCAGCGCAGTGACCAAAACCCAAAGTACATGGCCCAATTCCTTGGAACAGTGGAAAAAAAGAACTCAGAAGGCATCGGGGAAAGGAGCCTCCACCTCATCTGGTATGATGACCAACACCCAAAGTATATGGCCTGACCCCTTGGAACAGTGGGATGAAAAACCTCAGGAGTCAGCGCAAGGAGCGTCCAGCTCATACAGTAGGATGACCAATACCCAGAGTATATGGCCCGACCCATTGGAAGAATGGGCAAAAAGACATCAGAAGTCAGAGAGACGCACCTCCAACTCATCCAGTGGAATGATCAACACCCAGAGTATGTGCCCCGACCCGCTGAAAGAATGGGGAAAAAAACCTCGGGATTCAGAGAGAGGAGTGTCTGGCTCATCCAGTGGGATGACCAACACCCAGAATTTGTGGCCCAAACCCTTGGAAGAATGGAAAAAAAGACCTCAGAAGGAGTCAAGGAGGAGAGCATCCAGCACATCTGGTAGGATGATCAACACCCAGAGTTTGTGGCCCAAACCCTTGGAAGAATGGGATAAAAGACCTCAGAAGGAGTCAAGGAGAGGAGCATCCAGCACATCCGGTGGGATGACTAACATCCGGAGTATGTGGCCTGACTTCTTGGAAGAATGGGATGAAAGAACTCAGAAGGTTTCACAGAGAGGGGCGTCCAGCTCATCTGGCGGAATAACCAAGAGTTTGCAGACGGAATCCTTGAAACAGTGTTTAAAAAGCCCTCAGAAAGAGTCACCCCAGAGTTTGCAGACGGAGCCCTTGAAACAGTGTGAAAAAAGGTCTCAGAAAGCATCAGGGAGACGAGCACCCAGCTCATCTGGCAGGATGACTAACACCCAGACTATGTTGCCCAAACCCTGGGAACAGCAACAGCGGGACAGAAGACCTCAGAAAGAGACAGGAAAGGGAGCCTCCAACTCATCCGCTGTCATGACCAACATCCAGAGTTCACGGCTCAAAACCTTGGAACAGAAACAGCGGGACAAAAGATCTCAGAAAGAGTCAAGGAGAGGAGCCTCCACCTCATCCGGCTTGATGACCAATACCCAGAGTACGTGGCCTGACTCCTTGAAACTTTGTGAAAAAAGATCTCAGAAGGAGTCAGAAAAAGGAATCTCCAGCTCATCTGGTGTGATGACCAACACCCAGACTTTATGGCCCGAACCTTTAAAACAGTGGGAAAACAGCCTTCAGCAGTTAGGAAGAGGAGAGTCCAGCACATCCAGCATGATGATCAACACCCAGAGTATGTGGGCTAAACCTTGGGAACAACAACAGCGAGAAAAAAGGCCTCAGAGAGTGTCAGGAAGAGGGAGAGGAACCACCAATTTCCCAAGAAGCAGTGGCCGCTTGGATTCCACCCTAGTGCACAACACCCACCGTAGGCCCCTCCGCAAGCTTAACCGGAGACACCTCAGCTCTGAGAACAAGGCCCCAAAGGTGCGTTTCTTTTGTAATGGGGATGGGTCCTTCAGTGGCTTGGTATGCTCTGTTTCCAGAAGCACTTTCCACTCCTTTGATGCCTTGCTCCAGGAACTCACCCACTTGTTGGCTGACCAGGTGAGCCTGCCCCAGGGAGTTCGCAGTATCTACACCATCGATGGGAGTCGCAAGATCACCTGCCTAGGGGAGCTAGAGGAAGGTGAAAGTTATGTGTGTGCTTCAGATGAACCATTTTGTCAAATTGACTACATGCAAAATCTTTCTCCATCCTGGCATGTAAATATCAAGATTGGGACCTCTAGAGCCCGCGGTACTACCTCTTCCACTAAAAATGAAGAGAAGGACAGCAAATATCTTCTCAAACCCAAGTTAGTCACCATAGTTAGAAGTGGAGTGAAATCTAGAAAATCTGTGAAAATCCTTCTCAAAAGGAAGACTTCTCATTGCTTGGAAAAAGTCTTAACAAATCTCTCCCAAACCATTAAACCAGAGTCAAGAATGGTCAGGAAACATCGTACATTGGAAAGAAAGCAGGTTACTTCTCTACAAGATATTTTTGGTGATATTGCTTCTATTGCATATGGATCAGATGAAGTCCCTCATCTTCAGGATAGTTCTGTGTCTGATTACAACCAGTATCTTCCCCTTGAGTCATCACAAACTTCCTCCAAGCCCATTAAGTGTTCTGTGTCCAACAGCCCTGGAACCTCTTCAGGTAGCAAACAACACACATTAGTTAATGGAGCACCTAGCAGTCACCTTGAAACTCCTAAAGGTACAAAATCCTTGGCTTCCTCTCCAACTAAGCAGGATGTCTCCCTAGAAGCTTCCCAAGGATTTAAGAAGCTGTCTAGACCTGGCATGTCTTCTCCCAATGTAAAAAGCAGAGCTGAACGTAATCATTCCTCGAGTCGCAGTCATATCACTGGGAGTGACAAATCATCTGCATTATCAACTTTTCATAATAAATACAAGATTGGGGAAGTTATTGGTAATGGAAATTTTTCAGTAGTCAAATTGTGCACAAACCGTTACACTGGAGAGGAGTTCGCCCTAAAGATAATAGATAAAACCAAATATCGCAAAAAGGAACATCTGATTATGAATGAAGTGACCATATTATGTGAACTAAAGCATCCAAATATCATTACTTTGGTGGAGAACATAGAGAAAGAAAAAGAGCATCTTTTGGTCATGGAGCTGGTCAAAGGAGGAGATCTCTTTGATGCTATTACTTCTTCAAGCAAATTCTCAGAGGAAGAAAGCAGCGCTATGTTGCAGGACCTGGCCAATGCCCTCTATTATCTTCATTGCCTGCTAATTGTTCATAGAGATATCAAACCAGAGAACCTGTTGGTATTTCAGCATCCTAACGGAACCAAGTCCTTGAAGGTTGGAGATTTTGGCTTAGCTACGGTGGTGTCAGGCTTCCTCTACACGATCTGTGGCACACCTACATACTTGGCCCCAGAGATTATTGCAGAAAAGGGCTATGGCTTGAAGGTGGACATTTGGGCAACTGGTGTGATCACATATATTCTACTCTGTGGCTTCCCACCATTTATCAGTAAGAGCAATAATCAGGAAGAACTTTATAGTAAGATCTTAGCTGGACAGGTACATTTTCCAACTCCCCACTGGAATAACATCTCTGGTGCAGTGAAGGAATTAATCCGTCAAATGCTTCAGGTAAATGTTCAATCTAGGTATACTGCAGCTCAAATCTTGAGACACCCCTGGGTGTCAGATTATGCATCTCACAAGATGCATACACATACTAAAGTAACAAGTAAATTAAAGTAGAACTTCCATAGTGTTCTCCCTGTGGATCACCAGTAGCAACAAATCCATCATCATGCATTAGGGTTTAGTTAAGACATTTTCTTTGACACGCAAGGGCAGGAGGCAGTAATTTCTGGATGGAGCCCATCTCTTCGCTTCCGTCCCCAGATGAACAGCCCCTCTGGCTGTGATGCCCCAACATACCTGAAGTCTCCCATCCCCTCCATGCCCTCCTGCTACTTTGGGCGGTAAGCAGATAAAGACAGGGTGTACCTGACCTGCCATGTGTCATCTGGAAGTGATCCACTGTTTTCTATCCATACCTTAAGGCTTTTCACTGAAGATCTTCCTCCACTGCACCTTTACATAACTATTGAAGGGCCCAGGCCCTCTGTCAGTTTAGGCAACAGAGACAACAGATATTTGCTCTAACTCTCTGTGGATTTTTAGTGACATATTATAACATCGTCAATGGAAACTTTACTGTACCACCCAGCAATTTACATATTTTAAATTCCTCTGCAATTTAAATGGCTTTGGAGTGCTCTCTCTTTAAAAACAAAGGATTTAGACCTACAGAGCCCTTTTACATGTCCGGGGCCCTTTCCTCCACCAACAAGGATTTAAGAATAGCGTGTTTTGGGCAAGCAACAAGCACCCAGAGGACATCTGCATATCATACTCATCATCACTCTATGCAAGAGGTGCTTTCAGGTGCTGGCAGTCTGGCCCTGCCATGTAGGATGCTGATGACAACAGGTGTGCCTCTTTCCACAGACCACTTGGGCAGGTAAATTTTTCACAGATGCTTGTGTATCCCCACCTTGCCCCACCTATATTGAAGGGAAGAACACTAATAGAATTATCTTTTGGGTTTTTACAGTGCTAATCCCGGTGCATGAAGCCCTGGGTGGATACTTGCTGGTGAGTTAGCCAGCAGCCAGGCTCCAGATGGTCACCAAAATCTGTTCTGCCTTTGCAGTGGGGGCATTAATCTGCTGAGGACAAGGTCCCACATGCAATCAGCCTGGCTGGAGATACTCGCAGCATATCTTCTGTTTCCAGTCTTCTAAACATTTCTGGATGCTTTCATGCCCCTAGTCCTGCTCCTTTTGGGATTAGTCATATATCATATCGTAATTGTGTGCCTTCTCATCTTTGCCATTGGAGAGCCTGTAATTCTTGATTATCATTAGCTACCTGCCTTTGACAAGTGTACCCAACTATAGAAAGGCCATAAAAATGAAAAAAGGTGTAAAACTTGTAAAATCCTTCCTGAGATGATGAGACCAATGAATGTGTTCAGGGCCAGTGATGTTGCCATGTGTTTGTGAGGTACTGTATTTGATGATTAGCATATAAAATGGGTGTGGGTAAAGCCCTGAGAGAGGATCTGGAGAATATAATGTCCACAGGAGACTCTGAAGAGCTCTAGAATTCTCCTGAAAGATTTAGAAGGCTCTGCATGTATTTGAGTTCAAACGAGAGTATCAATTGCATAAAGTTATGAACCTGAACCAAAAAGATATCCTAGAGTTTAAAAGTACAGTAACTAATTAAATTTCTACTTAGGATGCCCTATATTACATAATTCTTGCAGAAAAAAAATTGGTAAAGGTTAAAATATGTCAATGGGAAAAGTCCATTTTGAGAAATGGAACAAATAAAAGTATTAAAAGGAATGCATTAAGAGGTCAGAGAGATAGTAGAGGAAGTAAGGCCATCACCTTGTATGTGGCTGATCTGGTTTTAATCCATAGCACTACACATGGTCCCCTGAGCACTATAAGGAGTGATTCCTGAGGACAAAGTCAAACGTAAGTCCTGAGTAGAGAGAGAGACAGAGAGAGAGAGAGAAAGAGAGAGAGTATGGGAGAAATTATCTGCAATATAGGCAGGGGGAAGGTTGGAAGGGGGGGGAATACTGGGGACATTGATAGTGGAGAATGTGCACTGGTTGGAGGGATCTTTGTATGACTGAAACTCAAACATGAAAATTTTGTAACTATCTCATGGTGACTCAATCTGTCACTGTCCTCCCATTGTTCATTGATTTGCTTGAGCGGGCCCAGTAATGTCTCCATTGGAGACTTTGTTGTTACCGTGTTTGGCATATCGAATACACCATGGGTAGCTTGCCAGGTTCTGTCATTCATGCGAGATCCTCTCGGTAGCTTTCCAGGCTCTCTGAGAGGGGTGGAAGAATCGAACTCGGGTTGGCCATGTTGGCTGCATGCAAGGCAGCAAAACTGACAAAAGAAAGGGGAAATTTAATAATTTAATACATTAGCAGTCACTTTTTATTTTCTCTTTTTACTTTTTAAAATGTATTTTTATTGAATCACCATGAATCACAAAGTTACAAAGATGTTTGTGAAGGATTTCCAGTGTAAAATGCTCCAACACCAGTCCCTTCATAGGTATCCACTACCCTCCACCAATGTCTTCAGTTTACCCCTATCTCCCAACTTGCCTTCATCACAGGCACATTTCCCCTTTTCCACTGACCTAGTGTTTTCTTCCCTAACTTATCCCCGCTCCATCCCCACCCCAGGGGAAAGTAGACCGTAGACCAGTTTCCTGCTCTTCCTTTCTATTGCCTTTGGATATTTGATATTTTTTGGTGGTGATGGGGTGTATATCCATGGAACTGAGTACAGGAAGAGATCTGCAACAGTTCTTGAATAACATGGGCACTTAAGTTTCTGCCAGTCTTGCTAAGCAGCTATCTAGGTGGGCCTGATATACTACTTGATCTTTATGGCCTTGGAGCTGATCTCTGCCATCTGGTTATTCAGGATCTATGGTTCTTGGGCTGAAATGAGGTTATGCTCTTCACAAGGAAAGAACAGATTAATACCAAATGCTCAAGTCCTAACATCTAGTATTGTTTAAAAAAATTTTATTAGTGAATCAGCGTGAGGTACAGTTACAAACTTACAAACTTTCGTATTTCAGTCATACAATAATCATTTACCCATCCCTCCACCAGTGCCCATTCTGTTCCACCAATGTTCCCAATATCTTTCCCACCACCCCCACCCCATCCACCCCCACCCCAAATTGTCTCTGTGGCAGGGCATTCTCTTTTGTTCTCTTTCCTTTGGGTGTTGTAATTTGCAATAGAGGTATTAAGTGGCCATTTTGTTCGGTCTATAGTCTACTTTTGGCTTGCATCTTTCAACCCAAATGGGTCCTCCCAACATCCTTTACTTGGTGTTTCCTTCTCTATCTGGGCTGCCTTTTCCCCCAGCATGTGAGGCTGGTTTCCAAGCCATGGAGCAAACCTTCTGGTCCTAATCTCTACTACCCCTGGGAGTTAATCTCCCATTCTGTTACTTTATATTCCACATATAAGTGCAATCTTTCTAAGCCTGTCCCTCTCTTTCTGAATCATTTCACTTAACATGATCAACTTTCCATGTTGATCCACTTATATGCAAATTTCACAACTTCATCTTTTCTAACAGCTGCCTAGTATTCTATTGTGTAGATGTAACAAACTTTTTTTAACCAGTCATCTGTTCTTGGGCACTGGGGCTTTTTTCCCCAGATTTTGGCTATTGTAAACATTGCAGCAATGAACATACAAGTGCCTATGTCATTTCTACTATACTTTTTTGCCTCTCTGGATATATTCCCAGGAGTGGTATTGCTGGGTCAAATTAGAGCTCAATTTCTAATTTTTTGAGAATCGTCTATACTGGTTTCCAAAAGGGCTGAACCAGTCCCACCAGCAGTGAAGGAGAGTCCCTTTCTTCACACATCTGTGCCAACACCAGTTGCTTTTGTTGTTTTGGATGTGGGCCACTCTCTGTGGAGTGAGATGATATCTCATTGTTGTTTTGATCTGCATCTCCCTGGTGATTAGTGATGTAGAGCATTTTCTCATGTGCCTTTTAACCATTTGGATTTCTTCTTTGAGAAAGTTTCTGTTCATTTTATCACCCCATTTTTTGATGGGGCTGGATGTTTGCTTCTTGTGGAGTTCAACCAGTGCTTTGTATACCCTTGATAGGTAACAAAAGTGTTCTAAACCCTTGAAGAAACTTTGTTACATCTACATAATGGAATACTATGCAGCTGTTCCCTTACATTATAGGATGGGTATTGGGTGAATATCCTTTTCCATTCTGTAGACTGTCTTTGTATTTTGGTCACTGTTTCTTTTGATGTGCAGAAGCTTCTTAGTTTAAGAAAGTCCTATTTGTTTTTCTCTGTTTCCACTTGCTCCAACATCTAGTCTTTTATCTCAGGGAAAAAAATCAAGACAAGAGTAATAGTGAATAAAAATAGTTTTATTGAGGAAAAGTAAAGGCACATTCAAGGAAAAATGTTAGCTTTTACAGAGAAACCAGACAGCCTCAAAGAGATTACACATGCTAAAGACATGGACATCTCCAGTAAATAGAGCTGCATAAAGTAAAAGTAAATTATTGAGCACCAGAAGTTGGGGTACAAATATCCCCCAAAATATGGAGCCCCAACTTTCTTTGGGAAACTTACACTTTAAAGGAACTTTATCATGCTGTTGTAGTTTTAGTTTTCTTTGAAGTTAAGAGTCCTTGCTAAGGCTTGTCAAGGAAAAGGATTTTGGACTCTGAAGGCTTCTCCATTTTCTGAGTGGTATCATGACCTTTGTTCTTTCCTGTGACTTGTTTCCAGAGGGTTTGATTTGTTTTTTGTGCAGGTATGTCTGACTTGAGATAATGGTCGGATGATTTCCTAATAGACCATATCTTGTTTTTGTAAGATATAAAATTTATTGCCATGGGCCCCTATACCTTTCTGCCTACCTCAGTATGAGCTAGTAAGTTTTTGAATTCTCCTGTACAGCATACCACATAAAAATAATGTACATTTCTTTCGATTGCATATGGAATGTTCTCTAGGATAGATCTTATGCAATGTCATCAATCATGTTTCAATACATTTAAAGGTACTAAAACATACCGTGTAGGATGATCTTAGGACACCTGTATAAAACTTCTAATCAGTCATTAAAGTAACTTCTAGAAAAT